AGTTATATGAAATACTTATTAGTGGAATACAATATATAGTATACACGATCATTATACATTTTAAACAAAACAATTGATATTCTTAATGTTAGGCATTAAATAAAGTGGATAAACGAATATAATACCAAAGATTTAGAATAACATTTTTATATTTTGAAATATATAAAATCAATTCGTTTTTTTATCAATTGATTAAACTTAACTTAGGTTATTCAATTTATTAGTATAATCATGATAAAATTTATATTTTAATAAGTTTATAATTTAAAAAGTTAAATCAATCGTAGAATATATTGTCACTGGATTCAGTGAAGAAAAAATAATTGTTTAAATAATAATATGAAATTCATGTAATATAATGTTCAATATGGTAAATAATTTAGAGTACATTACTCTACACATGGCATAACAAATAGTGTCAATTTTCGTAAGATAGTAAATTCAAACATGTATCTTTCTTTTTTACAGATAATATTAATATATAATATTAAATTAGTAAAAAAATACATATTCTCTAGTCATGTTCATATAAAATGTATATTATCAAATAATTTATTCTGCAATATTTTTTTAATATAAGTCCAAGTTTATAAATTAAAATTAAAAATATCCGTAACACCACCAATCATGCAATTATAATAGGGGGAGATTTTAAATCGAATTTAACTAAATTCAAATTAAATTAATTATAATATTAAATTCAAAAATACATTTATTTAGGGTTTCCAAGAAAGTTGATATACATAGAGCATTTTATAAATGGTAGGATAAAAATATATTAATAAAATAATAAAATATATTTAATTACCTTTAATTTTGGAAAATGATAACATAGACTATTTCCTTAAAATATGTTGACTGCTAAAAGACACAAATTAAACTATGAAGATGAAAAATAATGATTTAAGAATATTGTAAATATGCTTACGTAAATGACGCATGTTCTATTATATATAATGAAAAAGGTTTAACTTGTCTCAAAACATAATTTAGACAAATTAAATATATATAATCATATATTTTTTTAATGTGTCAAGCACAATGTAAAAATAACAAATATACGGTAAAATTAATACGACACGTGCAACGCACGTGCACCTGTCTAGTCCCTTTAAAAACCCTAAACCTTCACACTGCGGATAGAACGTCGTCGTTTTAACAGGCAAGAAACCCTTTCCCCCTTTTCATCTCACAGTCAATTGATTCCTTGATGTCCAATTTGTGACCTATAATCATGGCTGCTCCACTCGTACGCAGGAGTTTAACCAATCTATTCCCCAAAAATTCTTCTTCTCTATACAAATCCCATGTTTTTTATACTCAAAATTTATCGACAATTAGCGAAAATCAACCCATCGACGCGCCTACAGTTTCCGATTTCTTGATGCAGAAGCACAATTTCTCTCCCGAAGCAGCTTCGCAGGTGGCCGCTGGTTTAATGTCATGGCCTGGGGGAAGAAAGGAGCCAGAACTGCTAGGGCACGAAAGGAAGGGCTAAAGCAAATTGGGGGAGATTTGGAATTTGAAATTGAAGGCACACAAAACGGCAGCGTTTTGGAAAGAGGGGCGCGTCACTACACGCGTGAAGAAGAAGAGCGCTTGGGAGATGCTGATAGGCGCGCGTGAGTTGCTGAAATTCAAGGAGATTTTGTGTGACAGGAATATAACACTTGTCACTCTTTCAGTGGGTTTGTTATTTTGATTATTCCAATTGTACTGCACTTTTGGCAGAGTTTTGGCTATATATGTAACCAGCACTGCATCAATGAAATTAAGCAGATTTTATCTTACTCAATATCTCTTTCTTCTATCTTTCTTCCCAAGCTTTTTCTCCATATCTATATTTCTTATAATATTCAGTAGAATCTGACAATTGGTATCCAAAGCAAGGTTTCGTTTTCATCATACTGGGAAACAAAATGACTGAGACAAGAGCTAAACATATGGAACAGAAATTACAGGAGGAAGCTGAAATAAGGGCAGCAATGGAGGTTCACTTTCAAGATCAACTCACCCTACTTACCAAATCTGTGGTGGAGGGCCAAGCACAGATGCAGAAATCACATGAGGCTTGGCAGCAGATCCAGGCCAACCAGAAAAACTTCAGCTGCAATTTACCAAAGCTGTGGAAAGGATGAAGCATTACAACAGGGACAAGTCCATCATGGGCAGTGCCACATCCACTTCCAACAACACCAACATTCCAGTGAATACCTTACCTGAATCTGCAGTCAGACACAATCCTGAGGTTAGGTTACAAAGACCTTTTGAAATAGGTATAAATCAAGAACACTTCTCTCTAGGTTTCAACCCTAGTCCAAAAATTGAATTCCCTAGATTTGATGGTACCAACCCTAGAAATTGGCTGTTAAGGTGTGATAACTACTTCCAATTGATTCCAAACATACCAGAGAAGCAGAAAGTCATTATGGCTTCTCTACATCTGGAAGGTAAAGCAGCTTCATGGTATAACCATGTTACATTAGGGAACAGGGATCTAAACTGGGGGCAGTTTGTGAGTTTAGTAACATCCAGATTTGAGGAGTTGCAGGAGGGCAATGTTTTGGATGAATTTCATTCCCTAAAAGTAACAAAAACACTAGAGGAATATATTGAGAAATTTGAGGAACTCAGGTGTTATCTGTTGGTTCTCAATACCAGAACCTATGATGAGAGCTATTTCATTCATGGGTTCATGAATGGCTTACCAGGTGAAATCAAGAGCTTCTTTTCCCTATTTCCTATCCACAGCCTACCCCAACTCATTGATATGGCCAGAAAACAAACCCATACCATTGAAGCCATCACCAAAAAACCCAGTTACCCTTACAGACCACCTCTACATACACCATTTCCCACCAAAAAACCTTGGCAGAACCCCAGCAACCCACCCACAACTTTACCACCAAAAACCACACCCTATACACCCCCAGCCCTACTACCCCAGAGGAAAACACTCACCATACCTGAGATGAGGGCCAGAAGAGAGAAGGGCCTTTGTTACAACTGTGATGAGGCTTACACACCAAATCACAAGTGCAAGCACAGCCACATATACCTCCTGATGACTGAAGAAGAGGAGGTAAGTCACTACCAGTCATTAGCTGCAGCAGAAGGACTGGAAGAAGTGGAGTTTACAGATGATGTGCAGGTATCACTCAATGCATTGTTGGGGAATTCAGGGGTCAACACCATTAAAGTGTATGGTGAGTATGGTAGCAGCAAATTGAACATACTCATAGACACTGGGAGTACACACAGTTTTATTGGCATGGAGTTAGCTAAGGATTTGGGGTGCCTACCTCAAACAGCTCCTCTTATGAGGGTCACAGTAGCTAATGGAGGAAAATTGATCAGTGACCAAAGTATTCACAACTTCAACTGGCAGATGCAAGGGAGGGAATTCGGTTTTTCATTGAGATTACTGAAATTAGAAGGTTACCACATCATTTTGGGGTGTGATTGGCTGCAGAGCTGCAGTCCTTTGGTTTTTGATTACAAAGCCAGATGCATAGAGGTGCAGACTGTGCAAGGGAGAGTGATGATCACTGATATTAAGGAGAGAGTAGATTGGCAGCTCATTACTGCAGACTCTTTGTATAAAATGATCCAAAGGGGGCAGAAGGGAGAAATTGATCATGTGTTTTCACTAACTGGGGATAGTGTTGAGCCTAAGACACATGCCAAAGTTGAGGAACTACTGACTGAGTTTGGGGATTTGTTTGAAGAGCCTACCTCTCTACCACCTGTAAGAGGTATTGAACACCATATTATTCTGAAGAAAGATGCTATTCCTAAGCAACTGTTCCCTTATAGATATTCACATGCTTATAAAGGGGAGATAGAACAGATTGTTAAGGAATTATTGGATTCTGGAGTAATAAGGCACAGCCAGAGTCCTTTTGCTTCACCAGTACTATTAGTAAGGAAGAAAGACTCTTCTTGGAGGATGTGTGTAGATTACAGATACCTCAACACATTAACTGTGAAGCATGATTATCCTATACCAGTTATAGATGAACTATTGGATGAGCTCCATGGAGCTCAGTGGTTCACCAAAATGGATTTGAGGTCTGGGTATTTCCAGATCAGGATGAAGGAAGAAGACATTTACAAGACTGCATTCAAAACCCACAATGGGCATTTTGAGTTCCTGGTCATGCCTTTTGGGCTTTGCAATGCCCCAGCCACATTCCAATCCCTGATGAACCAGGTGTTTTCTAAGCACCTTAGGGAATTCATACTTGTCTTTTTTGATGACATACTCATCTACAGCAAGAGTTGGGAGGAACACCTACTGCATTTGAATATCACTCTATCTATACTCAGACAGCATCAATTGTATGCTAAGAAATCTAAGTGTCAGTTTGCTCAGACTACTGTGGAGTACTTGGGCCATATCATCAGTAAGGAGGGAGTCTCTACTGACCCTGAAAAAATCCAAGGAATGCTGGATTGGCCCAAACCTAGTACATTGAAGGGATTGAGGGGATTTTTGGGTTTAACTGGCTACTACAGAAAGTTTGTACAAGGTTATGGAGTGATTTGTAAACCACTCACTGACATGTTAAAAAAAGGTGGTTTCTTTTGGACTGAAACTGCAGAAAAGGCATTCACTCAGTTGAAGCAGGCTATGGTCACCTCACCAGTGTTAGCCCTGCCTGACTTTTCTAAACCCTTCATAGTAGAGACTGATGCTAGTTCTACTGGGTTGGGTGCAGTGTTAATGCAGGGTTCCCAACCAATTGCTTTTTTAAGCAAAGCATTAAGCCCCAAGAACCAAGCACTGTCTATTTATGAGAGGGAGTTCATGGCAGTTTTGATGGCAGTTACCAAGTTGAAACACTATCTTCAGGGGCACCACTTCACTATCAAAACTGATCAACAAAGCATTAAATATATCATGGAGCAGAAATTCACCTCTGCCCTCCAACAGAGATGGATATCTAAACTCATTGGTTTAGACTATGATATACAGTATAAGAAGGGTAGTGAGAACAAGGTAGCTGATGCTCTTTCAAGAAGAGATCATTTACAAGGTGCCTGCTCAGCCATTTCTACTGTTCAGCCAAAATGGATGACTGAAGTCTTACTTAGCTACGAAGGGGACCCACACCTGTCTCACATATTGGCTGCCAAGATGTTAGATGTTGAGGCTTTTCCTGATTACACTATAGTTCAAGGAGTACTTAGGTTCAAAGGGAAGATTTGCATTGGCAATGACCCTACCCTAAGACTCAAGCTTTTGCAAAGCTTACATGATACTGCTGTAGGGGGCCACTCTGGGATGAATGGTACTTACCAGAGGGCAAAGACACTGTTTTACTGGCCCAAACTCAAAACTGAGGTCAGAGACTTTGTTCAAAGTTGTGACATTTGCAAGCTTGCTAAGCATGAGAATTGTTCATATCCAGGCTTGCTACAGCCACTAGAGATACCTCATGGGGCTTGGACTCACATTTCTATGGATTTCATAGAGGGGCTCCCTAAGTCAGAAGGTAAAAATGCTATTTTGGTGATAGTTGATAGGTTCACAAAATTCAGCCACTTTCTACCGCTATCACACCCCTATTGTGCCAAATCTGTTGCTAAACTTTTCTTAGACAACATCTATAAGCTACACGGGCAACCTCTGAGTATTGTATCAGACAGAGACAAAATCTTTACTAGTCAGTTTTGGAGTGAAATGTTTAAACTCATGGGCACTAGGTTGGATATGTCTACAGCCTATCACCCCCAGAGTGATGGCCAAACCGAGCGGGTAAATCAATGTTTAGAAACATTCTTGAGGTGCTTTACTAGCCAACACCCCTCTAGATGGATGAAATGGTTAACATTAGCTGAATATTGGTATAATACCAATTTCCATACGAGCCTCAAAATGTCCCCTTTTCAGGCTCTGTATGGGTACCCCCCTCCTCATCTCACATTAGGATCTTACCTAGATCCTCCATGCTCCGATGTTGAAGGGTTTTTTGCAGAAAGGTCTCAAGCCTTAGGATTGATCAAGGAGAACCTAGAAAAAGCTCAACAGAGGATGAAGCTTTTTGCTGACAGACACCGAGTTGAAAGGGAATTTTCTGTTGGAGATGAAGTTTATTTAAAATTGCAGCCTTTTAGGCAAAATTCAGTAGCACTGCGTAAGAATCTCAAGTTATCTAATCGATACTACGGGCCCTATAAAATTACAGAGAGGATTGGCACAGTCGCTTATCGGTTGCTCCTACCCATGGGTTCCAAAATCCATGACGTCTTCCATGTTTCTTTACTCAAGAAGAAAATTAGTTCGAAGCACTTACCGAGCCCATCATTGCCTTTTGCTACTAACGAGGGTGTTCTCCAAGCCACACCTGCTCATATCTTGGACCAGCGCATTGATTCAACCACCAATTCTGCCCAAGTATTGGTCCAGTGGGAAGGGGAGTCTTCCATCACTGCTACATGGGAAAATTTACAAGAGTTACAGGCCAAGTTTCCGGAATTCGATCCTTGGGGACAAGGATTCGGTCCGCCGGGGGGTAATGTCATGGCCTGGGGGAAGAAAGGAGCCAGAACTGCTAGGGCACGAAAGGAAGGGCTGAAGCAAATTGGGGGAGATTTGGAATTTGAAATTGAAGGCACACAAAACGGCAGCGTTTTGGAAAGAGGGGCGCGTCACTACACGCGTGAGGAAGAAGAGCGCTTGGGAGATGCTGATAGGCGCGCGTGAGTTGCTGAAATTCAAGGAGATTTTGTGTGACAGGAATATAACACTTGTCACTCTTTCAGTGGGTTTGTTATTTTGATTATTCCAATTGTACTGCACTTTTGGCCGAGTTTTGGCTATATATGTAACCAGCACTGCATCAATGAAATTAAGCAGATTTTATCTTACTCAATATCTCTTTCTTCTATCTTTCTTCCCAAGCTTTCTCTCCATATCTATATTTCTTATAATATTCAGTAGAATCTGACATTTAACTTCGTTGAAAACCCTAGAAAATTCCGATTCAATTCTGTCGTTCCTCAAAGAGAGCGGGTTTTCGAGCACCCAATTGGAAAGGGTAGTGAAATACCGGCCCGCATTCCTCTCCGCAAATCTCGAGAAAATCATCAAGCCCAAAATTCGGATTTTCCAAGATTTGGGGTTTTCCGCCGATGAAATTTCTCTGATTATACCCTTGGTTTTGCATTCGAGTGTTAATAACAGACTAATCCCTTCTTTATCCGTGCTTAAGAACTTATTAGGAACCGATTTGCAAGTGGCGAAAGTTTTAAAGGTTTCGGCTTGGTTTTTGGTGACAGATTTAGAAAAAAGTTTGGTACCGAATGTCGAATTCTTGAAAAGTTGTGGGGTAAGCGTAAACCAGATAATCAAGCTCATGTATATAGTCCCGCGTGTTTTCTTGAGTAAGCCGGAAAACATGAAGAAATTCGTCGAAAAGGCCGACGAAATGGGGGTTAGTAGGAAATCAGGTATGTTTATTTACGCGGTTCGTGTAGTTAGTTCGATGACGGACGAGAGTTGGGAGATGAAGGTGAAGACTTTTCGGAGTTTGGGATTTTCGGATAATGATATCTCGAGAGTGTTGAGAAATGCGCCGATGGTGTTTTCCGTGTCGGAGAATAAGATAAAGAAGATTGTGGAGGTTTTGGTCGGGACCGGGAAATACGACATGCGGCGTATTGTGAACAACCCGACTTCGCTTATGTACAGTGTCGAGAAAAGGTACTTGCCTCGGTTGAGGGTTTTGGAGGTTTTGGAAAAACGGAATCTTATTAAGAAGTGGCCTTGTCTCGGAACTTTCCACTTGCTTTCGGATTCGAAGTTTTTCAAGAAATTTGTCGCCCCTTATTTAGATGAAGTTGGCGAAGTGTACGACGGGAGATGAATGAAAACTTGCTTGAGAAGCTACAAATTTAGCCATCAGGTAATTCGAATCTATCCTATTCGGTTATGTAGTTTTGTGAAAGCAAATATGTTATTGCTGATTTTCGTGTAACTGTTTTCCATGTTCTTATCTTCGTCACTCTATAAAGTCCGAAAACGGGGTAAACGTAAGTGGGCTATTTTTTTACAGAGATCAAGATTCTATTAGGTTTTCAAGAACTTATTCCGGTGTAACATATAGGAGACTGAGAAAGAATAGTTTAGTTACGCAGAATCACAAAATCGAAAGGTGGTGTAGAATTTATTAAAGCAAAATGTCGTGGAAAATATTTATCGAACACTATCTTATATCTTATGTTGGAAGCACGAAGAGTCTAAGATACATACCCGAGTTGCATGTGTTAAGATACATATCTTATGTCGTGGACTGAACTATATCCATATTTTTGTCCAACTTAGACCAGAATCTTGGGCATGCATGTGACTTCCGCGTGATATTTGAGGGGTAAAATTGTCAATTCACCTTACCCCTTTTTTGTTTTCGGTCCCACCTGATTTTTACCTTCTCGACTGCTCTGCTTTCTCAATTCCCTAACGGTAGATTTAATCAGTTGCATTCCTTTTATTAAGAATAGACGAACCACCTTCTGAAATTGCTAAATTCAAACTTTGGTTTGTTGCGTAATAAGCTAATAATGCATTCCTTGCGAAAAGAGATTCACGAAGATTTTTTTTTTTAGTTTTCCTTTGCAGAAGAAGAAATAGAAAATGAAGGAGAAATAGACCCGATATTCGAGAGATAGAAACACATCAGTTGAATGAATGACCGCATTGATCGGAAAATAGAGGAGTCAAACAAATAGGCAAACTCGAATGGTTCGTTAGCTAGAATCGGAGTAGCTTTTTTCTTTCAATTTTTTTTTTTTTTTATATGAGTTATATGATTGTAATTTCTTGTAGCATTTGAATGAGTTGATAATTATTTTATATTTATCTCCCAAACCCATACATCTTCCCATATTGAATATCTATGAGTTTAGTTGGATATGAAGTTTTGCCAAGTGCACAATGTTTTGCTTGGGTGTGATTTTGTAGCATGCTATATTATTCTTTAAATTGATTTTTGCTCCTTATCTATGTAGCTATGCTATGAATCTAATGGGTTGTGTTATAACTTTGAATCTATATAATATATAAAAGATGAATTACACACCAAATTGCTCAACGTTTGACAATATTATTAGGTAAATTAATTTTTATGTTTGGTTGCAAGGTAAAGTGCTAGATAATGTAATTAAGAGAAAAATGTGGAAAGAAATTTACACTAAAACTAGGGAAATGCATTTTCTTTAAAAAAAAGTGAAGAAAATGTAATGTAATTTTCTCTCTCCTCTCTCTCTCTCTCTCTCTCTCTCGAAGTCCTCTATCTCTTCTCTGTCGTCTCTCTCCCTCTTTTATTTCCTCTCTCCTCTTCCTCTTCTCTCACACACATCATAACAATAAATTATTAAATTAAATTAATATTCACAGTTTTTTTTCTTCTTTTTTTAACATAACATTTTTTTTTTTTTACTTTTTACGTCTTTGATAGAAAATAAAATTACTCCATTTAATAATTCAGTGTTATTTCACCTTTTTTTTCCTAGAAACCAAACAATAGTAAGAAAAATAATTCCACAAAGTCATTTTCATCACCATTTTACTTAGGAACCAAACACAACTGGGATTACAAAAGTCCTTGATTTCTTTTTTCTTTACATTTTTATTTTCCTTATTTTGAAATCCATGAAACAATCAGAGCCTTAAAATTTAAAATGGTATCTGTAAAAAGAAAACAGTATTTAGCAACTCCAAAGAAAATGAAGATGAAATTCAAATTACTGTCCAACTGGTACGTTTGGACTCTGATAAGCCTTTATAGTTCTTGGGCCTTTTAGCACAAATGCCCACCACCTACCAACACTTGTTGTCACAAAAAGTAGAACGAAAAATAATAAATTAAATTAATTAATTAAGGAGACGAAATAAATTAATTTTATTATTTTTACTAAAATTAAAACGAAAAATAATAAATAAATAAAAATTAATTAAGAAGAAGAAAGAAACAAATTGATGGTGGTTGAGGGTGAGGTAAGAATCAGGTGATGACATAAGCCGGTGGATCAAAGATTCTCGTTGAGCTCCCTTACACGTGTCACGCTGGCTTCACACGTGTTATTTAATTTGAGTACGTGTAAATTAATATGTATACCTAATATTTCCCTTCACCGTTTGCCGAATGTATGTATACCTTTAATACATGTGCTTCGTATGCGTATATGTATCTGAAAACTTACTTACCTTAACCACCGTATTTACTAATATACCACCCTCTTCATTTACTAACCACCATTTCTTGCTATAATACATCCAAATTGAATACGTATTAGGGTTTCTAATTTTATTTTTTTTAATAATGATTTATCGCATTAAATTATATAGGTGCATTGATATTCTCGTTTCGTAAACCACACTCGGCATAACAAGCCATGTGTCAGCGGAACTAGAATTTTGAGTTTGAGGAGTCGAATGGATTAAAAGAATTCTGACGAGGGACCGTAAACGTTAGTGTAAGCAGGTTTTTATATTTTCATATAAATTAATAGAGATTTGAGTTATAGTGGGGGACATGACCTCCTGTAGCCTTCCATGGGTGGAACCAGGATCAAAATGTAGTGGCTAACGAAAACTTTTGTTTGGGGCAGCGCTAAAAAAAAATTTAGGTTCACAAAACATTGCATAAAAACAATTTTATATTACTAATTTTTAATTAAACTATCATATATATTATAATTCTATCATATTTTAATCATCACAAAAAATTCTAAATTAATTCAAATTATTCTAATAATGTATTGCACTTAATAACTTGAGGATTCATGACACGATCTTATCTTATTTTTTTAAAGGCACTGATTAAAAAAAATTCAAAGATAAGTAATATTCATAAATTTTATTTAAAATAATACAAGTTTTAACCATCTTATTTTATATTTTATATTAAATATGGTATATTTATCTATAATTTATATAAGATTATAGAGAATAAAAAACAATAATGAGTTAAGACACGTATTTACAAAAACTTTAGGGCCAAAAGTAACATTCAAATAATACAATACCAAATACCTAAATAATTTTTTTTTCTTAGGGGGTCAACAGCCCCTGCCCCTTACAAGTACCGCCAGTACTGGCTTCACCACTGTAGATGTGTGACTAACTCAGTATAAAAAATATTTGCAAACAATTATAAATTCAAACTCAATATATTTAACATTGCATTCTCTTACAGAACAAGTTAGATTACACGCCCCTCACAGGATGATCTAACGGTTGGAGCAAGTGAATTTGTATCAATTGAGCTAAGTTCAAATTCTCTTGCGAACGATCGCTAGGTCGAGTTTGTCACACATGGTTAACTTAGTGTGATTTTCAAATTATTATACGAAAGTGTAGGTTTATCCAGTAAATCTATATAGTTGGATGCTTGTTTTTTCATTAAATAAAGAAAAAAGAAAAACTAGATTACACAATTGAGAGATATATTATGTTTTCAAATATTTTAATTGGATAACTAAATATTGAAATCGGATTTGATTTTTCTAACACATTAGCAATGGATAATGATTTGAGACAATATTTTTACTAATGACTTGAGACAATATTTTTACCTTTTCAACTAGATTACTTTCTCTTTTCTCAAGTGATTTGCCTTATCATAGAGTTTGTTTTCACCATTTGTTTATCTTATATATCATTTATGATTTTCCTATGTTAATAAATTGCTAATTAAACAAGCTAGTACCTCCTCCCATACTATTTATGGCTTCAATTTACCATTTATTATTCTCAATTAAAATATAATTAGTTGAGTAACAACTAATGACACGATATTTTAGTGATATTTTGTTATATTTTTTGTTATAATCCGTATGCATTTAATTTTAAAAAGAAGGGAGTATCTATACATTTATTAATTATTTAGCTCCCTACAAACATCTGATAATGTACTTATGTTATAGTGTGTTTGACTAAATTTATTTTTAATATTTGATAAATAGTTACTTCTTATATTTAAATTTAATTTTTGAAATATTTGGACAATGAGCTTATAAACTATTTTTACGCATTATAAATCTGAAATAAAAAGGTGGAATAAAGATATTTCTAGAAAATATCTTAAAAACTCTCCTGCAACTTATTTTTAAATATTTTTAATATCTATATATTTAAAAAAAATACCAATAGGTTTTGAAGAGATTATATGCTCTTAAACATATTATAAGCTATTTTTAACTGTTTATAAGCTTAGCCAAAAACTCTCCTAATCTTGTTCAACCTTATCACACTGTAGATATGACTTGAAATTCCGGTTATCGAACAATGTGAGTTCACGACGACACATGATTTCACTCACAATTTCTACTTTTTACAAATATTTCTTTTATTTGTGTTCTATTCTTCGTTACAATTAACGCATTAGCATAGATTCCGAGCTGTCGATTGTTGGACAATGTTAACATTAATCGAAATCTGCGAGACACGTTTCAAAATTCTAGTTGTTGAACAAAGTTAACGTGTACGACGACATTTGAGTTTTCAAACATATTTTTTATTATTATTTCAATTAAATTATTATTATAAATTTATCGTTTAAGCGTGTTCTATTCGACCATGTATCACCATATGACACGATTCATATTCAATTATCGATTATTGGGCAAAGTGAGTGCAATGCTTCTTATTGTGAGACACGACTCGTAATTCTAGCCGTCGAATAAAGAGAGCTCACGACGACATGTGATGTCACATAATTCTTTTATAAATATTTGATTCTTTTTTTTTTATCCGACCTCTTTTCGTTACATGACTCAACTCGGATTCTCGGTTGTCGATCATTAGACAAAGTGAGCTCACAACAACGTAGGATTCCCTTCTTAATTTTTTTAATCTTACGTCAATCTTATTCGATCCTTTT